TGGGGAATTCTGGGAGTCGAAGTCCACTCATCTTAAAGTGGCCAAGTTTGGGCAACACTGCTGTAGACGTTGCTGAATTATAATTCAAAGCATCATTCACCCCTGGGCTATGCTCTCTTAGGGTTCTGGAAACTGAAGGTCTACGTATCTGGATGGCATTGGGTTGGGGACAGCTGCTATTCTTGATTGCTCCAAAATTGCTTCATACATTATCAGAATCTTGGCCTCCTGGAACATTGGATTTGCTGTACATGTTGAGTTGTTCTTCCTCATTGTCTTTAGATGGCTTGTCTGTATTAAGGTAAATAATCTGCTCTCCATTTCCATGTATCCTGCGATTTTCCTCTTCCTCCCCTTGTCTCTTCTTTTTCCTTCTGGTCAAATAAATATCATACAAATAAAAGAAGGAAATTACCATCAGGGGATAAGATAAAAGCCAAGAAAGGAAAAATATCTAGCAAAATATACAGAGATTGGCAGGCAAAGCATTCTTGAGTGTGTCAGTAGTAAAAGTCCAGGAGCAGGACCCAGTGAAAAGATTGGCAAACCTTTTGGAAACCATCTTAAAATATTTGAAGGCACAAGCTAGATCAATCAAAACCAATACTGATTGAGGCTATTTCCCCATTAGTGAATTATAGCACCTTCATAGTATCACCCAGCCTGGAGGAATCCTCAGGGGGGTCAAGTCATGGTGAGGCAAATTATGAAAGCATGTTGTAGCCCAAGCTCTGTCCCTTTTGTACATGTGTCATGACATCACATACACGTATGAAAGAGGAAAAGCTTGCTTTACAATCATGTGGAACTAATGGTGCCGGAGGACAACACTGCTTTTGCCATTTTGATGAAAGCGTTGGCTCCTGCAGACAGCTCTGACCCAGCCTTCACTGAAGGGACATAAAGTTTGCTCCCTTTACTGTTATTTTGGTATGACAATGGTTGGATAACACTAGTGAGGACGCACTCTTAGAGCTGTGTGGCTGTAGTTGGATCTGACTGATCCTTTATACCTCTTACCTGTTTACTGTCACTTTGTAAATCAAAATTCCCAGCAAGGTAAAGAGGAGGAGGCCTGCAACAGCTCCCCCACATCCAATGAGCAAAAGAGGGATGTTCCCTGCAAAATGAGAGACACTGGCAAAGAAGTGATCAACAGGCAATTTAGGTCAGACATACCTTAAACAACCAGAAATTCTGCTTGCAAACTTTTTTCCACAAGTGCCTAGCCATGCTTCAATAGTTGGACTGCAGGCCTGCTGGCAGAGCCACCACACCACCACCTGGCATCCTTGAATAACTACATAGATCCTACATAGATCCTCCAGCCCTTGTGAAGCCAACTAGGAATATTTTGCCAGGCCAGCATTACAAACATGGAACTGGTTCTTCTTTTAGAAAGGTCATGTCTATTTCATTTATGCCTTTATTAGATTTTTAGCCTACCTTTCCTCTGAGAGCTCAAGGCAGCATGCATAGCACTCCCTCCTCCTTTGGGAGCATGACTGAACCAAAATTACCTAGGCAGCTATGAGTAATTACTAGAATGTAGGTGTTTCTGGTGCCAGTCGAACAGTTTCACCATTATACTGTGCTCCCTCTTGGGCTAAGAGAGAAGGATTGGCCCAAAGTCACCCAGGCATCTTCTGTGGCTAAGGCAACTTGAACTTGACTCTCCCTCTCCTAGTCCAGCACCTTAACCACTATATTACACAGGCTCTTCACTTATATGTCCCTACTGTCTTCTTTGCAACAGTAGAGAAACAGTTGCCCATTGCATTCCAGTCCATCTCTACAGCTATCTCTGGCTTCACTTTCCTTAGTCGTACCTGCCTTGAAGGTGGGCAGTGTGATTTGGCTGGTCCCGTGCTGATTGATGGCCTTGCAGGACAGGTGGGTGAAGTTAGATCCGGGCCCCCTCAGGATGCCAATGATGGTTTGTTCTCCAGAGTTCAAGGCCGCCCACAGCTCGGAGTTGTTGAAATCCCCAGGAACGGTGTGGTTTGGAAAATACCACTCAATTCTCGGAGGGGGGTTTCCCTCTGCCACACAGTAACAGGTTACAGTTTCTCCAGTTCTTGAGATAGTACAGTTGCTTTCGGGCCAAATCACTGGCTTATCTTAAAAAAAAAAAAAAGAGGGATTTGTTGCAAAGAAAGGAGGAAGCAACAGGCTAGGCTGGATTTGAACCATTGCTCCAAATCAGTGTTTCTCAACCTTAGTAACTTGAAGATGCATGGACTTCAACTCCTAGAATTCCCCAGCCAGCCATGTTGGCTGGGGAATTCTGGGAGTCAAAGTCCACGCATCTTCAAGTTGCTACTGTTGAGAAACACTGCTCCAAACAATCCCCAAGCTGTCCTGTTGTGGTGGCTTCCCCAAACTGCCCTGCAGAGAGTGCTCTTGGACACAGCAAAAACACGACATCCTTGTGGAATCCCCACAAAATAGGGATTAAAAGTCCGTTTGATGAGAACTAACTTTATTAAGGGTAAATGTAAATACTTACGAGGGAAAACACTCAATGTTCCCTGAGACAGACACCAGGTCAGTATGCAACGTTCGACTATGACATGTCCGTGTCAAGGGGTGAGTTTGCAAAGCTTTTATACCTAACACACTAAGCGTTTGTTCATCATGGGTGCAAAACAGACTGTCAATTAAAAATGTGTGAGAAACTAGCTTAGCAGCCTGCGAAACACTTTTCCGGTGAACTCCTCAGTATCTCGGCACCTAGCGTTTCCCTCACATATATTCCCAGGCCATGCTAGGCATCTACTATTTTTTTATACTAAAAGTTAAATGTGGTGTTAGCTTGGTTCAGAGTATACACCTCTCCAATATGGTTAAACAGGCTCTTAGTTCTACTTCTTTTACATAAAGCCAGGTTGCCCCTTGCCACAGTAGGTGGCAGCACCAAGCCAACCTTGGCCAATCTCACAAAAAGTACGCAGAGTTAGATCTGGTTAGCTCAAGAATAGAGCCTTGCTTAGCGCTGAGCAGCAGTGACTGGAGGGGGGCACAAGGGGTCAGACTACAAAACCAGTCTCACAGCACAAGCAATACCCTTTGGCTGGCTGGGGAATTCTGGGAGTTGAAGTTCATAGATCTTAAAGTTGCCACATTTGAAAAAACCCTGGGCTAGTGAGTATCTGAGGTTAAAGGCATAGGAAACAGCTTGGATGAAAGAAAAGGTTCAACTCCACCGGACAACCCAGCTGGGTGAGCTTGACTTATCAGCTTTTCTAAGCTCTCTGAAAGGATTAGATCAGAAACAGAAAAGCCCTAAAAGAGAAATCATTAAATTGTCCTCTCACACTCCATACTGAGGTAAGTAGGTGGGGAGTCCTCCCCCATGCCAACATCATTTTCTGCAACACAATGGTACGGCTCCCAGTCTCTCCGGATGTCCTTCAGCTTCACCTCTAGTCCACTGCCTGCTTCCTTCAGTGGTGCCTTGTGTGGCCCAAAGAACCAGTGGTAGCTGATGGGGGGTGGGTTTCCATGGCTCTCACATCGCAGAGTGGCACTGTCTCCTTCTTTTAGTCTTTGATTCCCAAGGATCACGATGGTTGCATTTTTGGGAGGATCTGATGGAGAAAATCAGAATGCAAGGAGACTTGCATAGGCTGTGCTCATTGCACCTCCAAACATTGCCTTCCTCCTCATCTCTTTCCCTGCCCCCAAATCAAAAATAGGCTTCAATGTCTATAAAGATGTCATACTCCAAAGGTGGTTGAACTTCAACTCCCAGTTCCTGCAGGTGGTGTGGCCAATAATGAGGATGATTGGGAGTTGTAGTTTAGGAACATCTGGGGTACTACCAGTTGCCTAGCTCTGCCCCATATACTGCTGAATCAATAATGGTGGAGCCTTTGCCAAAAAAACCATTACGGGTTTGAAAACATTGGGGAGCAGTCTTTAAGTCTTCCCCTAAGTGTGTTTTGGGGGGGTGCCCTTCTTCACAACAAATAAGACCCCCCTCCAACCAAGATGCCAAAGGGAGATTCTTCTCCCCCTTTCAATCAACATGAGGAGCCAATCTCCTTGAAACTTTAGAAAGAAGGAACATAGCTGGAAGCAGAAAACCATGAAGGACAGGAGAAAACAAGATGAGGACGTCTCCAAAAATCTCCCCAGCCTTATATTATATTTGATGCTGCCCATTAGTGCCCAAGATAAACCTAACAGATGTTTGACTTGATCAATAGCATTGGCATGGGCACCATTAATACTCCATACTCCAAACTCTTGAATTCCCCACCCCTACCAAAGCTTTCAATCTTCTGGAAAATAAACCCTGCAAATTCATGAGCATCGCAGCTATTTCAGAATAAAACAGACCAGATTGGCTGCCATTTCACTGCTGTGCTTGGACACTCACACTGAACATTCAGGTTGATCCTGCTGTGAATCTGTTGCCTGTTTGGAAAAGTTGCACTGCATTGCAGGTATCTGCCATGGTCCTTGTGGGAAGGGATGTAGTTAAAACTAGATTCTGTCCTCCAGGATCCCCCTGCCAAATGTTCTTGGATTGTGACAGCCTTGTCTTCCGCAAGATTCCAGGTGAGGACAGGTGGAGACAAAGGACAAGTGTGCAGGACTGAACAAGACACCTGGGTGGGATTGCCTTCCATCACTAGTCCCAGATCGCTCAACTCCAGCTGGTTAGGAGCATCTGCAAAAGCCATCAAAAGAGAGCCAATGAGTTGTGGGACAAGTGGGAACACTTATCATCTAGCCAGAACCACTATGAAGAGAAGCTTTGCAGTTGAAAATGGGGCTACATTTTCTGTTAGTTTTAGTAGTCTTTAAAAAAAATGAAAGACATAAAAAGAGTTCAGGGAATAGATACTTTTACAGTTACTTGCTGTAATTCAAAATAACCTTCAGATGTGCAATTTCTGCCGAAATGAACATGGATACCAATTCCAGCGATGAAAGAGAGGAGTGAGGTGTCATTGCAGCAACTTAAAGTTGTGCAATGACACATTGTGACTGAAAGATGCCAGATTGTAGATTAATGTAGATGCATGGCAAATATGGTGTTGGGAGAAGAAGAAAAACCCTACTTTAAAGTTAAATAGCTCAATGTGGCTTAGTCCTTCTAGACAACATTGCTTAATTGATGGGACTGAAAGCAAGCTGCCTCTGTCAGAGCATATAGGATGGTCAGACATTGCAGAAGACAGGTGGTCCCTCAAACAGCTAGTCCCTATGCCATGTAGAGTTTTATAGACAATAACCATCACCTTCAATCACACCTGGAAGCCAACTAGCAACCAGTACAGCTCATGTAGCAGGGGTATTACATGGGCATAGCAAATCTTGGCCATCGCTGCTTGTGCTGCCATATTCTGGAATGGTTTGAATGGTCTTCAAAGGCAGCTCCACAGACAGAAAATTGCAGCAGACACCTGCAAAGTGACCAAGGCATGAATGATCATGAGGAGTGCCTCTTGATCCAGGAACAGACACAACTGGCACACCAGTTGAACTTGTGCAGAGGTCTTTCTGGCCACAGCTTTTATCTGCTCCTCAAATTAATAGGGGCAAAATCCAGCTATTTATAAAATATCCTAACCTAATTTCAGGAAAACATTTCCATCCTCAGAAGAGGTCTTGACTCAAAGACGCACTGACCTGTTACCTCAACCTGGACAGTGACGTCGTAGAATCGATGCCAGACTGAGTCAGGATTGATCCAGACGTAATATCTCATAGCATCCTCCATCTGTACTGGATTGATGCTGAGGGTACAGTTGCCCTTTTCCAGATCTCCCACCACTTTTGTTCGTCCCTGGTATTTTTTTAGGACACTGCTTGGCGTTTTGCTGTTGTAGATTTCAGGGTAGGTCCAGGAATGATACTGGTACCAAGACACACTGAAACTGCTCTCCTGTAGATCCCATGAATCTGGGAAGGTGAAGGAACATGGGATAACCACACAGGATCCTTCTAGGGCTTGGATGGAGCTGGGCAGAGTGGAATTCCAGGTTGCAGAGATAGGACTGTCAAAAAGAACTGGAGAAAAAGTTGGGGAAGGGAGGTAAAAATGGAGCAGGATTTCAACTGGAGCTAAGATATGGGTTAGGTTGCCCCATGGCCCCTGAAGAACAGCCCTCACCATATGAAGGGAACCAATTGTGATGGACTTTAGTTCTTATGATTCTAGCTAGGTTGGGGAAAGTGGGATATATAGCAAAGGAAGCATCCAGATGGAACAGATCAAATGTCTGTCTAGTTCCTCATCCTGTTGACACAGCAGCCAATTCATTACGTATGCAATCCTTCAAGCAGGACCTAAACATGATGACCACTTAGATTCCCCAGCAGCCAGTCCAGAAGAACACTTTGTCCTGATGCCTGATTACAGAACTTACCTAGGAGAAATGTCAGAGGGAGATACTTGCTGGAGGGTTTCATGTTGCAAAGTCTCTTTGGGGTTGCAACCTTGAGAATGCCTCAAGGTTTGGGGAACAAGAACTCCTTCTTCTGGTCTTCTCCGTCATGCACAACCAAACTCTCCAATGGAAAAATTGGTTGGGAGAGGAAAAGTTGGAAAGCTGAAGGAGATGAACCAGAAACCAAAATTGAGACATTAGTAGATGATTCATTTAGATTGGTAATCAAGGCATTGATCATGGCCAAATACAGAGAAAAATGCATTCTATACATTCTTGGGGACATTCTAGATGGAAAAAAAAAAACGCTTTTGGCTGAAAATCTTGTAGCTTGTAAGGCTTGAACCACCACCAGAAGTACTAACTTTGCACTTAGGGAGCATGGAGTAGTGTGGAATAAGCTTTGCCTGTTGGATTTCTGCCACCTCAAGGATGTTGAAAGCTTCCATGGTCTCTGCCATTAAAAAAAACCCAGCCTTCAAGGCCTCCTTTCATTTGTGTTGCTTAAACATGTGGCAGTGTTGAAATACAAGACTCAGACTCCTGGCAGAAGTTCTTCTAGCCTGATGAAACTGGGAGAAAGGATTCTTGCAAGAAATAGCAAGAGATTATCCCATCCCTATTCTCCAACTCTGACTCCCAACTCCAACTCTTTGATGGAAAGCAAAAGTGATCAAGTATTAAATATGGGCAATGAACATGCTGAGACAAGTTTTACCTCTACTAACGTCTCTCTAATGTCCCAGTGGTGATGTCTTTCTAGGAATTCCAGGCCAATGAATGGGAGGGGTTACTAACTTCTTTTTTGAAACATGATTATTCTCACAATGATCATCAATCCCAGCACAGATTGGATTGCTGCTGATGCCCACTTAAACTGTCCTGAGATATTTTGCCAAATTAAGACCAAATTTAAGATGACATCTTCCCCTTTCCGTTCCATATACTGACTCTGAATAGATTCACAACTGGCTCTTGTTTCATCACTAAACTTGAGGTACTCCATCCCAACCAAAGTTAACAGGCTAGTTTATGGGGGTGGGGTGGGGAAGGCATGTTGGCCAAGGAGATCCGTTAGGAGGATCAAGAGATTTACACAGGGGAGCTGCTGCTCCTGCTCTAAATCATTTGTCATCAGAAGCAGTCACTCAGTCTGCCTAATGGTAGAGCTGGCCCATCGTTATATGAAAGGTTCTTCCAGCAGGTTCTTCTCCGCAAGCCAACTTAAAACTGAAACTAGTTTCAGTTAGAGCAGATTTTTCTTCATTGAGAAACGGAGCACATCTATAGATAGAAACAGCTGGGCGGGCGATGCTCATTCCCCTCCCCGCGCCCTCCCCAAAGATGCTGGCAGACACCAGAGGCCTTGATCAAGAGTAGATCCCCTGGGCTCAGTGGTATTTATCAGAACCTCTAACGTGACCCAGTTAATTGTTGCCAGCAGCCAAATGCAACCCTTTGCAATCTGTGACCTTCCATTCCATACACGCTGGAGCAAAAGTCACAGCCACCCTCCCCACATCCTGATCACACACATGTGCTGCCAAGTCCAGTGGCAGCAGCAGCAGAATGAATAACATTCTGGAAAAAGTGAACTTGAAGAAATGAAAGTTGTAGCCCATGCAGATTTAAAACAACTGCCTCTCAGGCTGAACTGACTGGCTGAAGAGCACTTAACTGCCACAGTGCAAAGGGAGTCACACCATCTGAACCAAAGGACTTGTTCATAGGGGGACTGGTGGTGATTCATTAGGAGTGAGGCACATGTTTAAAGGTCATTTGCCCTCCTGTGCGTGGGACTTTGACTACAATCATTAGCCATCGCTTCCTGATGAGCAATGATTGTTTTATCCTGCAACTAAGGCTGCTGGCCAAGTGATGAGGGCTCTAACCTGGGGGTGAAGGACTGCAGACTTGATCTTGGGAAGGGAGCAATGAACTGTTAAGGGAGGAGGAAAGATCACCCAGTCTTGGGGAAGTGAAAGAGTGAAAAGAAACTCAAAATAACCCACCTTGGTTTTGTTTGGTATAAGACGGGGTAGAGAGAAACTCTGATAGAAGAACAGAAACTCAAGTTTCTGTGATTCTACCCTACAACAATCAAGAACCTTCCTGGACTCCCTACTGCTCCTGGTCCTTGACTTGGCCTACCTCAATGGATGACACCGGGCTAGGGTTGTGCCTTTTGCAGCAATTTCATCAGCTGAACTCAGAAGGTTTTGTATTTTTTGGGGTGGGATGAAAATTGTGCGGATTGTACGCCACCTTCTGCAGATCCTGTTCTTCAAAACATGGGAGCAGAACTCAGAAAAAAATCATAGCTTCTCTACCATGCTATGCTCAAACACCTCTAAATGCTCATGTAGGTTATAAACCCAGCACATATCTTAGTTTGCAACCTTTTTACATCCTTTCAGAGTAGGCGATGGACTATTGAAAGGTATCCCTTAAGGACATGGGGGATTCTTCGCATGCTCCCCGAAGCACTCTTGCTGACCTATTCCAAATTATGCTGAGCATATACTCAGAAAACAGGCTGAGTTCACTTCACATGTTTATTATGGGGGACAAGTTTTGCACACTTTTCATTTCAGAGGGGGAGAGATATTCATACCATTCCTTTCCTCTATCCTCCTTCGTCTTTGATAGTGTACTCTCCTATCATATCCACTGCCTGTCCCTCCTTTGACTGTAAGTCACAAGATTTACTGAAGAGAAAGCTGCACCTCATCAAAAGTTCTCCATCTTTCAGTTGCTAGAAATAGCTACCAACTTCCATCCTGCACTGCAGGGGTAATGGTCCTCTCTGCCACTGCGACTCAGTTGATTTTCATCTGCCCTAGCCTGAAAGACCTTGACCCAATGTCCATCTCAGTGCACATCATCCATACCTCTTTTGACCATAACTATTTACAACAAGGGAACTTAAATATCATTCTGGATGAAATATGGCCACCATGTATGGGCTGCAAAGATCCAGAGGACCACTAGATAACCCACCAATTTTGGCAGGCAATTTTGAAAGGCACTGGCAGTTCTGTTTGCTTGATCAGTTTGCTCAGGATCTTACTAGTGCTCAACTTGGTATGCTGGTTCGGGGAAAAAAGTTGGTGGGTGGCAAAGTTCAGCTCCCATGTGCTAATTTTAAGCACAGCATTTGGCAAAATGCATTCCCCCCTCCTAAAACACACACACACACACACCCAACAACAGTTTGGCTTCTGAATGTGACATATTTCAAATGCACATGAAATTCTGTTTCAGCTTCAGGCTCTGGCCACAGTTGTCAATTTACTAATGATCGTTGTGCATGGAAATTGCTCGCAGCGCAAAGACTGAACTTTTGCTCTCCCATCTCTTTCTTTCTCTCTCTCTCACACACAAACTCACATAGCGAGAGACATACTTCAATGGAGGTGGATATGTGTAGCTCAGGGTTGAACTGTGGGGTCCTTGGGATTCTCTGAGCTTGGTTCTTTTCTTGCAAACGTTTCATTACCTGGCTAGGGTACATCTTCAGCACCAGCATGGCAAGGCAGGCTACAGCAGATAAATAGAGAGCAAACCTCATCCCATTTTAGCACTGAAGATGTTCCCTAGCCAGGTAATGAAACATTTGCAAGAAAAGAACCAAGCTCAGAGAACCCCAAGGACTCCACAGACATACTTCAAAATTAAAACCAGGCAGCTGTAGCTATCTGCTGTTGAAATTATCCTATCCTGTCCTTTTCTTCTATCTATAAAATTCCAGGTGGCATCTCCATAGCCTTCCTTCTCCCCATCAATGCACATACCCTACCCCACCTCATCTGATCATTCTGACACAGCTTCCTCAATGTGTGCGCATAGAGCAGAACAGGTGGTCACCATTCTGCAGGCATTCAGACACCTCTAGGACAGGTTGCTACACCATCCCTATTTTTTTTCTGACAGTTTCTCTTTTCGGCCAATGCAACAGAAATGGCAGTGACACGATCCCATTCTTTCCAAGAGGCCAACAACCTGAGCGTGAGAACGACACCTTGAAGGGTTTCATTCCCAGCATCTTTCTCACATTTGCTACAGCATAAGTGTGCTAAGCTTCAATATGGGTTGTTTGCTTTTGACTTAGTCTGTTGTTTGAATCCAGACACTGTGGTTTGTAAATGATGGATTCAAGAGCCCAACAACTGTGATTTATCAATAAACTGTACTTAAACAAGCCATGGTTTAGCATGAAGTGGGAATCCTGTGGCACATGGTAAGCTGGACAATCCGATGTCAATTTCTACTAAACTTGGAGACCCAAGAAACTGCCTTTACTGGAACAACTTGGACTCTCCAGAACTAGTCAGGATTTTTCAAACATGCTAAAAAAGCCTGGATTCTGCATGTGATTGTGACTGCGTCCAACCTGTACAGAATTCCTCCCTCCCTCCCTCCCTCCCTCCCTCTCCATTACTCTCTCCCATTTTTTTCCTCTTTATTTTCATTCTTAGATCCCAACCTGATTAAGCCCATGTCTTGGTTTAAAAGAAAGGAATATACTGCATATTCCTTGAGGCCGCGTTTGTACAATATGCTAAGTTTAGTTTGTTTTCCACCAGGGTTCATTTAATGGAATCATTGTATTACACAAAGTGATCCAGTGGAGTTCATTTATAGTTCGCAGTATTACCTAAACCAAGAAAATAGGGTAACTTCAGCAAACCAAGATGACAATGAACCAAATATAGCATGTTGTGCACAAGCATTGAATTGGAGTAAATTTTGACCAAACACACCTGTAGTCAGAATTAACCTGGCAACTTAATTTTCTAAGGTTGTCTCTTAAGGTTTAAGATTTCTTAAACACACATTCTGGAGTCAGCCTTCCTGAAAATGTGGAAATTACTTCTGAAACAACATTAATAAAATAATACGGGTGGTTGTTAATTGTATGAGCTTCTGCTAATAATTCAGTTAAGTCTATATACATTTGTGTGTGCGGAAGAAAAGAACACACATCAAGAAAAAGCGCATCTTCTTGGCTTCTCTGTTATGTGCACCAAGCCATTGCTTTAGAAGAGGCATTCTGCTTTCAACCACTTGCAAATTAGAGAAACCTCTTTTAAAATGGGCTTGCCCACTCTAGGGCTTAACGATTATACAGGTGCGCACGTATACCAGATAAAATATCGACTGATTGATCTCTTAAATTATTGGTGCCATCTAATATCAGGAATAAAAGGTTCCTAGCATATTACCCAACTGAGTGATTGACTCTGATCACCAGGCTTCAAACCTTCCTTGTTTTTAAACATCAAGACTGTGAAATGTTAAGACAGTACCACCTAGTAGTGAGAGCAAAGGACTATAGCAAGCTCAGACCGGGGGGGGGGGGGAATCTTTCTGTCTTATCCCTGGGAACTTTCATCTTATCTACGGAAGACTCCCAGATTTCTACCTGGGGGAGTGGGAGCGAGATCCCTTCGCAACTGTCTGAAACTGAGTGGAGCAGAGATATACTTTATGGAGTCCATCAATTTCAGCTTGGGTACTATGAAAAAATGGTAAGATTCTGCTCGCTGTTGGAGCCCAGATTTGCAGGTATGGGTTTGTGCCCAAATTAGTGGAGATACCTTCTGCTGAAGTAGGATGGCGGGTAATTTAAAAGAGGGGGCTCACAAGCTCAGATTCTTCTCTCAGCTATGAGAATATTAACAAGCATTTTTCTCCTTCCCATCTTTGTTCTGTTCTCAAATGCCCCCCCCCACCCCCAGAGCCCCCTTCTCTCCCCACGCTCTCCCAGAGGGCCCCACCTGTCACAAGTCAGGGGGACCCCAGCTGCTCCCCCCATCAGCACCTGCACCCGGACCAGCAGCTTCTTCATGCTCTAGTTCTTCTGTTCTCTGACAGCCTCTTTACCATTTCATCCCGCCCCCCTCACTCTCCCCAGTATCCTCTCCCCGGGCTTGTCAACTATGAATAATCATCTCTCTCGCCCAGGACTTGCGAAGTTTTGGTGCGCTGCTGTTCTCAGCCTCATCTGAGCTTCAACCGGCTTTCCAACCATGCTACATCTTGCCCCACTACCTGCTGCTCTGGAATTGCAAGTAAAGCTGAAATGCCCTTCCTGGCATCCATGTGCGGTTCTTCATTCTGTCTTCCATGGCCTGTTCCTACAGTAGTTTTCAAATCTGCATCCTGCAACACGGGATTTGATCTGTTCACTTCCTAGTTAGGTAGGTAGATGATACAGATGATAGAGAGAGAGAGAGAGAGAGAGAGAGAGAGAGAGAGATCATCTCCATCCATCTGTCCATCCGTCCCCCCTCTCTCATCATAGATAGATAGATAGATAGATAGATAGATAGATAGATAGATAGA